AGTTTCATTGTGTGGCTTTGTGTGGAGTTCTTCCAGAAAGTTGAAACAGAGCTGAACCAAGAAGAGGAGAACCTGTGTGCTTTGTTCGTAGGGTTCCAGAGACCTCCAAAGAAGGTGAGGAAGCTTGCCTCCATTGGCAGGACTGGACAACCCAGCCAACGAAAATGCCCTGGTACCCTCGAGAAGAGGAAAGCCCAGGTGGAGTCTGATGAGACCAACTTTATACCTGAAGCCTACATCGACTGGATGCCACCGGTTCGCTCTGATCCTGTATGGAGTATTTCAACAAAGCCAGCTAAAAATTGCTGTTAGTTATTTTCTGCCCTGTGATTTTATGCAAAAATAGGAAAAATGGTTTAAAAGTAGATTTAATTTGCAAACTTTTGCTATGCTGTTAAAAAGTTTGGGATCAAGGTTGAGAGAATTCGTTTTTGCATAAGTTGAACCATTTTAACATTCTTTCCCTGTGATTTTGATATATTTGCTATCTTGTTTTAGCCAATGCTCCAATTTTTTTCTTTTGGCTTGGATAATGGACTATTTTTAAGTAATGAAACTGTCATACTGGACATTCATGGACAATGCTGCTGACTAATTGTTGCTTCTCTTACACACAATGTAACCCTGAAAAAAGACTGTCTCCCAAGACTACACCCTGAGATCTGTGCCACCATAGATATGGTGGAATAAAAATTAAAGGGGGGATTGTAACAGGGTGGTCCCCAGGAAAGGGGGAGGTTCCCTGCCCCACCCAAGGGAGGGTAGAGCTGAGGAGGAAGAGGGGTAGCTGCAGAAGAGACTGAGGAAGGAAGCAGGATGGAGCCAGAAGGAGACCTGGAGGAGGCTCATGGAGCCTAGAGACACGTGAAGAAACTGCGCTTGTCTTTTGGTCATGGACTGGGTGACACAGATGTGGGTGAGACCCGTGGGGAGGTGACCATGGCAGCTTTTATCTTGATGTTGATTTTGCTCTTTTCCTTCCGGGCTTGTCCGGTTATTTGTGACCCTTTTCTGTGGGTCCCCACTGGAAGATGCTTTAGACTTGTAGCAGGCTTTGGGGCCTTGTTCTGGGCCGATCCCATTTGGATGGAGTTTTACCCACGAGGGGATGGGTAACTTTGGGTGCTTCATTTAGAAACTAGACTCTTTGCCTTACCTGTATTGTTTCCTAGTTTTATTAAAGTTCCTTCCCATTAAAGTCTCATATGTTTTGTGTTGATGCGGCGGATGGCAGAACCCATTTAGAATAGGCAGGTTTGCGGGGCTTGGGCTACCCCTCTTCCTGTTCTATAACATTACAAGGGGTTGAATAGGAGTACCTAATGCAAATGTCTTGTGTACCTCTGTTGCTAGATCATGCCATAAACTCTCAGAGCTTTCCTTACTACTGGAAATAGAATCATTAACATTTCACAATCTAGTTAACATTAGAGAGTCCATTCCAGAAACTCACCCTTAATATTCTGTTCCTTTTCTACTACTTGATTACTTGGCACCAAAATCTGTACTAGTCAGACTTCCCCAGAGAAACACAATCAATAGGACAAACATCTGGAAATTTTTATTATGAAGACTTGACTCACTTAATTTTCTGAAAGTTGACATGTCTCCTGACCTGTTGTCTGTAAGTTAGAAACCCAGAAAAGCCAGTGGCATCATTCCAGTGTAAAACTGAGCACTGGGGGAGTGATGACGCAATTCTCAGTGTGAGGGCAGAAGGAGACCAGTGTCCCCATTCAAGTAGGCAGATAGGAAGGGAGCAGATCTTTCCTTTCTCTACTTTTTAGTCAGACCCTCAACAGATTAGGTGAAGCCCGCCACACTGGTGAAGACAGTCAGTCTGCTGTGTGCACTGATTTAAATGCTAATGTTATCTGAAAATAACCAACTGGACACACCTAGATATAACGTTTAATTTCAGTAACCTATGGCTCAGTCATGTTGACACGTGAATTTAACCATCCCCATTCTTTCCATCTTGCATTGTGATTATTTGTGTGAAGCTCTAGCTCCATTTTATAATTCAATTGTGAATATCAAGAAGAGAATTGTTAATTCTGTGTCTGGAGAAATTCCAAATGTCATGAAATGAGGACTTGTTATGATGAATCGTCAGGGACATTTTTTCTGATAAATGGGATTTCTGCTTCTCCATTTTTCTAGTCCTCAAATTGGAAGCATTTAGGGTGTAGTATCAAGATAATTGCTATTAATGGATAAATATTTGCAGTAAATTAAAAGGAAAGAATTTTGTTTTCTTGAAATGGTGAGAAATATATTAACATATGTCTTCGAATGGTTTTTGGAGTGTGGAATATATCCAATAAATGTTCACTGATTAAAGAAAAGAATGAAATAGTAGGTGGCTAATTTGTATTGACTGTTTCTGTGTCTCAGGGTCTATGTCACATGCATTATGTATGTTGATGCTCACAGTATAGTGAAGAATGTTTTTATTCAATTTTGCAGATGTGGAAACTAAATTCAGCGAGATTAAATAACATATCAAAGGGTGCTCAGTTACTTCACAGTGGAGACTTATTTCAAATTCAGTCCTATCTGATTTAAAAAAAAATCTATGTACTTTCCACCCTACCAGCATTTCCAGAGTATTTGAGGGAAGATGACCAGTGCTAAGAAGACTTATCTGAGTAAAGGATCATGTGGCCAAATGAATTTTAAAAACTGTGAGAGCATTTCCGAAGTCTAGAGTATAGAAGGTGTTATATGAGAGCAATTTTTAAAACTCTGAGAGAAAACTGATTCCTGTAGTACAAAGTGAGGTATCTGATTGGTTCTGAAAAAATCAAACTAAATTACTGGTTAAATCCAGCATTTGACAATGGATACTTTTCTCTTTCCTGATAATTCTTTGGAGAATCCAAATTCTACTGAGCTAGACTCTGATTAAAAATCCTAGAAGTTTTACCAGCTAGATAGGTGTTTATGTACGGACAGGCTGGGCCTAGATTTTCTCATTTACAAAATAAAAATCTGGCTAGATGTACCTTTCAAGTATGAACACTTGATGACTCTTTTTTCATTTCTGCATGAACAAAATGCTTTGTGCCTTATATAGATCACCAGTAGGGTATTAGAGATCTCCATTCACTCTCCCACAGACACCTCAAATTCTTTATGTTTTGTGTTCTTCCAGTATCCCTTTCCCTCATGCTGCTGCATTTCTTTATCCAGTTAAGTGGTGTTAACAGTCAGATAGTTTCTTGTTATTTGTTTTTAATTGAAGTAACATTGATTTACAACAGTGTGCATGTTTTAGAGGCATAGGATTATCTCCTTCAGGTATTGTTACCACACCACGCCCACCAGCAAAGCACTCATAGTCCCCCATAGTCCATTGTGGCTTGTTGGAAATTGATGATGATCCTGGAATCCTTTGACTTTGTTGTCACCACCACAGCTAGTCGCATATCAGCAATAAACTGCATGGGCTTCAGTATTGGTTTTGAATCTTAGTTCTAGTTAGTTGTGGGGAAAAGGAACAAAGGGGAAAAGTGTGACTTCTCTGTGTCTCAGTTTCCTTCTGTATAGAATGAAGACAGTAATAATTCTAAGATCACAGAGTTATTGTGAAAGTTACATAGATAATTAAATGCACAGTGGATGTTCAATAAATTGTGTCTTTCTATTAGCCTGCTCTTGGATATCCTCTGTTCTTTCCCTGTTCTCCACTGCCAGTGGTACCATTCTCAATCCAGACCTCATTATCTCTTACCAGTATTCACTGTCAGATAGTCACCTCAGGGGGCTAACTCTTGTCTAGTCCCTGCCAATTTATCCCCTGCATTTTTGACTGAGTTTTCTTTTTGAAACACAAATCTGTCATATTATTCTGTCCTTGATTCTTGTACTCCAAACAGCCGCTCCAGTCAAAAGTCCAAATGACTCTCAGCTCTCAGAATAAATTGTGCTGTTTCACACACTGGTATTTTGCTTATACAGCTTTCCAACACTATCCAAAATGTTCCTGCCACTGCAAACAGACACCTGTTCATCTTTGAACTTAAAATGTCCACAGCAATATTTCTGTTCCCAGATGATTTGTATAATCTTGTTACTTCTCAGGAAAACATGGAGCCTAATTCCTCTCTCTTTACATCTAGACGGGACTTTCTGAGTGCCTCAGCAATAGCATTAGGGGAGATGATAGTCTGAAGCCCCTGAGGCTAGGTCATGAGGGCCGTAGGTCTTCTGCCAGGCTTTGTTTCTTTTTGGAGATACTTGCCTTTGGATATAGACATCAAAATCCAACAAAAGTATAAAGTGGTCCATGTAGAAGAGATGACATGAAGAGGAACAAAGGCTCCTAATAGCCAACATATCTGTCTATCTATCTATCTATCTATCTATCTATCTATCTATCTATCTATCTATCTATCTATGTATCTATCTATCTTCTATCTATTGTCTATCTATCTATCTATTATCCATCCATCCATGCATCCATCCATCCATCCATCTGCATATATATCTCAACAAAAATCGCCGCCTTCACAGACCGCAATTGCTCATATGTGGGAAATAAAAACACCACAGTGAAAGAGATGTCCCTGATGAAGAAAGTAGATAGTTAGATTTACTCATTAATGTGAAAAATCTTTTACATTGCACATGAATTAGAAGAGAAAGCTGGAAAGAGAGGAGCCCTTGGGTTTTTTCTACCTGCTCATCTAGCCAGTGAACTTCATGGGCAGTTATGCATGCAAGCTTCTTTGTAATTTAAGGCTTCTCTTGCGTGCCGCATATGGCAGTCTGGGCTGCCCGTCTGGGATGTGACTCCTGCTTCAGGAGTAATGATAAAGTTTCTAGCACTCACTGTCGTTGTGGGAAGCAGACTGTTGTTAAAGTGTTATTATTAATGAGAATTACTGCTGGACAGCTTGAACTAGAGGATAATTTATTCCCCGTGAACTTCTAATTGCAGTAAAATGGTTCATTCACTGCCACACTTGTCCATCTTGTTTGTTCCTGTCTTTCAGGCACGGTTGACTGCGATGGAATAAGGCAGAACCGTACAAGCTGCAAGAGAAACAGACGTCTTGCATTTTTGGAGACACTGTGGAAACTGGTCAGAAAGGTTTCACTCCTATTAGGGAGACTTGGGGGAATAGCAGAAAATATTCTCATTTGCTCAAGGAAGTCTTAGTCAATTCATATGAAACAAGGCACCTACTAAGTGCAGTGCATTATGCCAAAATGGGAAATCACTGTTTCCAGATGGCTTCTCACTGCTTTTGCTGTTGAAGCTCACATTTCCTTTCCAGCATTTCAGATAGAAAGCTCATTCCCTTGTTTTTTAGATTTTAGCATATCCCTTTCTCATTTAATTTCAAGAGGTTTTTTTGGGAAAATGAGAACTACCTGGGGTGATGATGTGTATGCAGTATCCTTGTATTATGTCTTCCCCTTGATTTTTGCCAAATGTCTGCTTCCCATTCATTCTACTTTTCTCCATCTTTTATTCCTGGAAGAATTCTCACCTTGCTCTTTGCATCATTGTCATTCTTTGCGCTCCTGTTTTGCTGCACTGTGATAATTGAGGTTTGTCATAGGCTACTGACTCATTACTGTATTTATATGAGATTTGGTTACTTGAAGTTTAGTAGACTTATTAAACAACTGATTCTCAGCCAGTGAATGGATACAAACCTGTCTAAGACAGATGGTAGATTAGGTTTTGGGTAGTATTATTATTTAATACTTAATAAGGTACTTGTTGGACTAGATAGTGCATCACCTGGAAAAATGATATTGCCTGTCAAACAGCATCCATTCTACTGTAGACAAACTTAGTGTGACATTAGACAATGATTAGACAGAGAGATACCTAGAAACTGAGACTAATCACTAATTTGATGATCTTTGATGGTTTCATACTTATGGGGGGAACAGTACTGGGGCATACCAGACAATGTCCAAGTACATGCTAGGAAGCAGAAAGCCTAGTTGATCTTAGGTTTCCATTTTCATCAGATGATGGCGATTGTATCTGAGGAACAGATGGCTTACCCTGTGATTTGAGGAACACTGGAGAAGAGCCCTTATAGTAATCCTCAAGAGATGTGTCCTCTCACTACCACAGAGGCTGAAATTGTCCTGGAAAATCTTGCCTTTGGACTTAAACTGCAGACAATAAACATTTGTGAAAGGGGAGGGAAGGGGAAGAATCTAGGGGTGTTAAGAATCTTTGTTATTTCATTCCATCATTACTGATGAAAGAATTCATAGTATGTGCTGCGACAGAAAAAACAAACAAACATGCAATCCACTGGAAAGAGGTATTGTCTTCCCTGGAATCCCTCTGAGAATATGTAAATATCTAGTTACAGATGACAGCCATACTGAGAACAATTATAGAAAGAAGGCAAATTTCCTGAATTTTGTAGACAGACCCTTTGGATCCAAATATTGATTTTGTTCATATTGCACACATGTAAACTTTATTAACTCCTCTTTGCTTCCTGTCTCCCATCTGTAAAGTGGGGTTAACAAGTGTTCTTAGATCATCGAGTTCTTGCAATGGTTAAATGAGCTAAAGTACCTGAAACACTTAGAACAATGTCTTGCACTTAGCAAGTACCAAAGGAGTGTTAATGGTTATTAATTCTCTTAGGGTACATTTGTTTTTCTCAAAGCGTTCTTTTCTAAGGCAATTTGGAATGGACTGTAGTACTCCCAGGAGAAGGAGAGCACATTTTTGACTCCCTACCCCAATGTGGTGAGTCTGGGGCCATTATTCAGTGGGGCCCACATGAGGACAGTGCATGTTGGAAAGGTGCTTGTTTACTATTTTATTTACTGTGCTTATTGGGGTCTCTAACCCCAGCAGAGTCTTTCTTCTCACCCCTGTTCCCATTTGAACGATGCAGGGAATGGTGCTGCCCAAGTGGTTGGGGATGAACCCCTGTTGCTGACATGAATGTATGTAGAAGAGTTGGCACTTCAGAGACAGCAAGACCAAGGTTCAAGTCCTGTCTGTGCCATCTCCTGTCTTTGTGACTTCTTGATAAATCACTTAATGTCTCAGAGCTGCAATTTCTCACAACATGGGCTTGCCAAAACGTGCCCACCACCCTTGGGGAGGGGTGCTAATCAAATGTGGTGATATGTGTGACAGCGACTTGTAAACTGTAAGGGGTGACATAGACATGAGCTGCTATTATCAGTGGTTCCTTTCATGTCCCTCCTTTCCACACGCAGACCTGCATTTTAGCAGCACCTGCGTGCTGTCATCACTTGGCCATTGATTTTATTTGAGGGCTTTTCTCCTGAGCTTGTGAGCAGGAACCATGCGCCGGCACCCCCAGTAGTGAAAATGCTACGTGCCCGATGCCAGTCTGGTTGAGGGGACTAATGCTCACGTTGTTGTCACAAAACACACTGTCCCGACATGTCTCAGAAGGGGTTATTCTCTCTTTCTTTCTCCTTCAATTTGTAAACCATGCGATATCAATAGCGAACTTTTTGGAATCATACACTCTCTTGGGGTGATACTGGTATTGTGATAGGTGATAAAATACTTTTAGAGACCAAAAGAATTGAAGATTGGTCTGGCTGAATGAATGCTATGAGTGAAGACTGCCTGAAGGGGCTGAGAGGTGAGGGATTAAGGCAGGTAAAAGGGAGAGCAGGAGAGATGGCCAAGGAGCATGAGAAAATGCACTAACTCCCAGCAGCAGATTTCTGAGTGCCATTCTTTTGGAACATTTTCACTAGCCAATTCAGGCAATAAGGCAGAGATTTCTTAATTTTGTGTTTGGGCTCAATATAGTGACTTCTGGCTGCCTTGGCTTGAAGTGTAACAAGAAGAAAAGGGAAAGGAAAGAGATGGTGCTATCAGTCATGCACAGGGTCAGACGGGCTCTGACCTGTACTCTGAGGGGCATAGAAAGCTCTTGAGATGCCCTGCCTTTCTCTTCTGGATTATGGACAAAAACAGAACACAGAAGGTGCTTCTTTAGGGAAGACCTCACTTTCCCAATCTTCCATACCTGAAAAATGGAGCAAATGAGAATGTGGATACAGACCCTGGGCACCAAGTGACTGGGAGTAGGTGGAACACTGCGGGACACGGAGCTTTGCCTGCCACTGAACAGATTACTGGAGAAATACCATCCAAAGCCCAGCACGCTTCTGCAAACAGTGCATCCCTTTCAGTTAATTGGTGTTATATGGAAGCTGAAATGTTCCACTTATTTACAAAGCTACAGATTTATGTAAAGCAAAACCAATTACACTTAATGCCTAAACTATTCCAGGTGCTCAGTGATAATGTTGCTAGGCACTAGAGAAGCTGCTGTGTGAGCGCATCCTGTTCTGGATGGAAGGAAGCTTGTGTAGTTGCTGTGGTTTAGCTAACCACAAGTGTCAACCCCAGCTTGAGAATGCTAAACATTTCTGGTCTTTGGTTTGGGTCAACTGTATAACTCTGTAGCTCTCTTTTCAGCTCTAAGGACTAGTGAAAACATAATGAGTGCTTTTTTCTATTATGTTTTAGAAATTAAGGAGATGAAGGCCAATTTTGGAAGTAAAAATTAATAGAAGACTTTTTCAAACAGTGAGACAGACTGTTAAAGCTTCTCACTGTACTAAGCTGAGGTTTTATTAGACTCTTGATCTGTGGGGTATTTATTAGACCCAAATTGCAAATTTGGCATTTAACCTTCTTTCAGGAAGAAAGCTTCCAAGGTCTATCCAGGGTCATCCTCACTATATTATCATAAAGCAAATGCTTAAAGGATTTGAAAAAGTCACAGGGCAAGAATTGATGTCTATAAGAGCTAATCTTTTCACGTGTCCTGTATAGAAACAAAAATAGTTTGAGTAAGAGAAACACCTGGTACTTTACAGCTGCTTTTTTGCAATTAAACATGCATGTCATACCTAATCAAGATGAATGCACCTTTTATTCTACAGATCTAAAATATTTTATGTATACACAAGGGAGGTGCTTAATTGCAGAATCATTTGCAATCAGTTGATAAGCCCACCTCTCCGATCCAGCATGAACTGTCCTGGAAAGGAGGGGTGTTCAGTGTTCAGGAGCAAAGGAATGATGCGAGTATGTTTGGGAAAACCACGGATTCCTGCACAAAAGTTTGGGTGAAGGGTCCATGGAGCTGATTCTCACCCAAAATTTGACAAATATTACTGTAAAGGTATGGGACAATGGTTTTTTTGACTTTTTAAAAAACGAGTTTCCACATTTCTTTACTTATCTGAGATAAATCTCTTTTGGAAGATGATATTCTGAAGGTATCTGAATTTGTAGCTGTGGAAAGCAAAAGGTGTCTTTTGGGCCGGCAGAGTCCTGTGTCTCTGTTGATCTGATCGCTTGCCCTCTTTTCAGCACTAGGTTTACCTTCCTTAAATTCCTTCTTTTAATCTCACTAATTCTGTCATTAACATTTATTTTATAACATCAGTATGTGGCTGTTCTCTTTGTAAAGGATCTCTATTTTTGTAATGCAGCTTTGCAATTCAGAAAATTGCCCTCATCAATTCATATCTTGATAGCATAAAGTCAAGATCAACTATAGTAAAATAACATACAGTTTTTTTATTTATTCAGACACAGTATATAATCACAATATTGGCATATAAAATGCTTAAAAAATGTACTGAAAGGAACACTAGTGTAATTGCACATTAAAACTCTAAAAAATACCATATGTGTTTCTTTTAATAGCCAAACCATTGTAAAAAGCTGTGAAATATTGTGATGTATAGGGAATTGTAGTTTACTGTCACAGAAAAATCACCTAGACTTTGAAATGACCTTAAAGTTCTAATCATAACATTAGTACGAAAGCATAGTCATTTTCTAGAGGAGTCGTAATTAGTCTTTGCAAATAAAGTACACAGGTAATATTCATAAACTCATTCCTTTATATATTAGTCCTTAAACTAAAATGCATAAAGTGTTCATCTGAAGAAAACAACGAATACTTTGCTCATAAAACAGGTGGAGTCAAATATAGTTTCATAGGGCTGTCTCCCAAAGATCAATATGTGAAGAACATTCCTGTGTACTGCCATAAAATTTCAGAGACTTTTCATGAAGGGGAAGTGTTTCTTCAAGATTACTTCCACTGATGTTCTGGACATTAAAATGATTTAGATTACAATATCTAAAAAAGAAAGAAAGAAAACTATTTTAGGACCAGTTGTGATGACTTGATGAATCATGTGCTTTGCTCCCACATTTGTCTACCTTCATGATGGGCCAGTAGATGCTGGCACAACAGTGCTGATTATTTAATAGTGCTGCTCCACAGCCATTTCAGTACCTATGAAGGAGTCTCCTAAGGACCTTTAGATGGTGCTCTATTTACAACCTGCTGTGGCACTGACAGAGCCTGGAAAGCCTGAAACCCTATCAACTGCCCAGGCTTCATGGCGGCCAGGACTCATAAAGGTTACTCAGACATACTGAAGACTTGTAAGTTCAGTGCTGTGAGTAAAACACCATTGCTGAAGAAAACATCCATGAAGACACTCCAGCCCCAATCCAAGCAAACCCTGGCTTTCCTGAGTATCTCTAACCTCCTGTCCCCGTGCAGGGCACTATGTCCACCTGATTCAATGAATTCTCACTACTCTAGAAGGATGGAATATCCCCAATTTCAAAGATCAGGAAATGGATCATGTAAGAGATGAAGTACTTGCTTAGGTTTTATAGAGAATAGTCGTTGGCAGAGCTTGAATTCTTTTTTTTCCCAATTTAAATTTTTTGACATTTTATTTTATTTTTTTCCGTATGTGCACATTTCCACTTACCCTTCACCAATCCACTGTGCCCATACAGGGCAGATGGAGCCTGGGTTTGGAATCAGAACTTTCTAGTTCTGAATCTTGGTTCCTTTCGCTCTACAGCATGCTGCCTATAAAGACACAGTTGTTTTTCTAAATATTTTTGAATAAACTCCAGGAGGGTTGGAATTTTAGATTGCTTTATTCACTGCTTGACCAATGCCTGGCATATAGCAGGTGTCCAATAAATATTTGTTGAGTGAACAAATGAGTATGGATATAAGTTTAATTTTATCAAATATACTTAATGCTTTGGGGCCATACATCTATTTTTGACTTGTGAAGCTTTTCAAGCTAATTTTTTTAAAGATTGATTTATTTATGCATACAAGAGCTGGGTTGTAGGCCAGAGGTGCAGGGAAGTGGGAGGATTCACCAGGGACAGAGTGGGGAGAACAGGCAGATTGAATGAAGTACAATGTTGAGGGGAGCAACAGGAGAGACTGGAGAGGTCTGCTGTGCCATGTGGGTCACCTCCCTGGCTGGGGATCGAACTCATTCTGCAGTGGCTTCGGATAGCTTCCTAGAGCTGAGACTTACCCTTGAGCCACCAGGAAGGCCCCTTTCAAGTTAATTTTTACCTTCTTTTCCTTCTCAAAAATATTGCTAAAATTTTTAATAGAAAAGTACAGCTTGAATGACTGGCCATTTGTCTCTCATTTATGGCACCTGGAATGATCATTATAGGTTATGCACACAAGATTAACTGGTCTCATCGAAAAAATCAGTGCCATGATATCAATTTTATAAGATGTGTTTTACAACATTGGAGGGACAGTGATATTATTATAAAAAAGAAATACCCTTCTGCCCCCTGCCCCTAGAAATACTCTCCTATCTTTTTATTTTAGCATCCATTGTGGAATATATATTTATTTTAAGCACTATATAGATGTTTAGTATTTTTCAGCAAGGAAAAGACATTTCAATTTCAACCTTCCTATAACCGGGCCTCCCCTGGTGGCGCAGCGGTTGAGCGCTGGGCTGCAAGGCTGCCCGTAGCCTCTGCAGCGCTGGTTCATTTCCCGGCCACCAGCGAGGGTCCCACAACTTTCCTACACCCTTCACCTTCTGCCTAGGGAGCCTTGGGTATGACATGTCACGATTGCCCTATTTCAGATTTGATTGAAGAGGACTAATATCGATAGAGGCAGAGGGCTACATTTTTGTTGTTTTTTTTTTTAATTTTTTTTTTTTTTTTTTTACAAATGTAAGTCTGACCTTACATTCATTGGTAATTACTAATTGTACTCAGGTGATATCCTAGGGATTTTGACAAGATTTGTTTGCTTTTTGGTGGTGGGGCTGCCCTCCAGTGCTGACATACAACTAATGCCATGTGTGTATTGGTGAAGATGCTGTTTCATAATTAATCCACTGCCCTTAAATTCTTGGGGACAAAAATAGCATGATACTGTTCCATTCTTGATAGATTTATCACAATTATCTGGCTCTGAATGCCTTGGGTTTGGTAAAAATTGGATTGTGATTGTATGTGTACTTAGATCAAGCACTACCTGACTCATAAATAATTTTTCAATAATCCTCTCCCTGGAAAAACTGTGTTTTCTCCTGTTTTTTTTTTTTTTTTTTTTTTTTGCCTATTTATTGTTTGTTAGTGTTTGACAATAATCATCAGTATAGAAATAACTGGAATCAAGCAGTCTTCATTGCATATATGGATCATACTGCCTTCGATGGCAAACCATTTCTTGCCTAACTCTAACTGGGTACTTCCAGTCCCTGTGGGCCAACAGCTAAGTATGTACCTCTACACCAATGTACTTGGTTCTAGTAATTGCTGCAGGCAAGTTTTCCAGACTCTCCATTTCTGATGTGATACCCATTCTTTTTCTGTGGTTGGCTGATCAAGAGGTCATGGGGTGTAGTTTCTTTAACTGAGGACACTGATTTCCTCCCTATCCACCAGAGTTAAGGGGTTGTCAGTGTAGAGTGCTTCTCCATGGCAGCTAGCAGCTACACAGTTTGGGAGAGTATGTATGGGTTTTTAGACAAACAAGTGGGTTTGAATCCTAGTTGTGTGGAATTAGTCAATTTACTTACCCAGACTTCCACTTTATTTTTTTTTTAATTTATAAAGCAGAGTGAGAAGTTTTATGTAATAGGAAAGTGTTTGTGGTTAAATGAAGTTATTTAACTTGAGTGTCTAGCATGCTACTTAAAACACACAAGTGCTCAGCACATGGAAAAGTAATTTCTTTCTTTCCTGCTTTTTAAAAAAATATTTTTTGATAATAATGTGTTTTTTTTATTGGAGTGACATTGGTTTACAAGACTGCATACCATTCAGAGGTATAGAATCACATTCTTTAGCTATATCCTCTCTTTTTTTCCTTCCCTCAAAAATTAAGCAAGAGAAGAGAAAGTATATGGGTGATGAAGACAATTTAGTATCAGATTTATTTCTAAATAAATCCTACAATATCAGTTAGTCTCTTTTCACCTTTGGTTCCTCCAGTTTCTGGTGGTTCCTTGTCTGAACTCCACTCCACCATATTGCTTCTTATTGACTCACTTGCTCAACAATCACAAATAATCACATTTCAATATTTTAATATGAACACTGGATGTTAGCTCCTTGTAAACTGATGCTCTATTTTCTTCGATTCTAGTCTTTTAATGCCTGGAGCAATACTTAGTATGTTGGTTGAATGAATGATTGAATGAGTTAATGAACAAATGAATGAACCCCTGACCTACTAGCCCCCAGTGTTAGTTGTACCTGAATCCAACCCATAATCATGACCATCTTGATCACACCTCAGAATGAGTCTAGGAGGAAAATAAAAGCAAGGAAGGCAGGCTCTAAAGTTATTATGATCATGATCAAGATCATCATCACCATCATTGTTCTTAAGCATCTTTTCACCCTTACAACAACCTGAGGGAGCAGTTACTATTCTTACTGTTTCCATTTTACAAATGAGGGAATTGACTTTTAGCAAGTTTAAACAGTTTGCTGGAGTTTGTTCAGGCAAGTGGTGCAACTGAATTCACCAGAGCTGCCTCTAGAGATTGACTTTCAAGCTACTTCATGAAAGACAAAGGTCAAATTTTACAGTGGGAGAAAAAGTAAAATTGAAAAAAAGCACAGGTTTATGAGAATTGGCAGGCGGGCATTGTCTGGAGGCAACTGTTGCCTACTGGTTTTTTTGATCCAAAGCTCAGCATATTCTGTATGCCTCTCTGATATTCTACTTAGTTTTCAGTGTCAGAGTATGATTGAAATTTAGGGAAATTATAAATTGTGGGGGTCCATTAATAAACTAATATGCTTTGGATGGTAAGAATTCAGGGAGCCACTAAGACTTGATTTTTGTCATTAATACTAACCCATAAGTGTCAAGAGAGCAGGGTACAGGTACACCAAGCATTTATTGGTTTATTGACTTTTACTATAGTACTTAACACATGGCCAGTGTCCAAAAGAGACTTATTAATGAATGAAAGAATGACTTAGGCAAGGGAGAAGTGACAATAGAATGGAAAATATATGACTAGGTAGATAAATGAATGGAGCGAAGTAAGGAAAGTTAAGGATCATTTAGTTACTGGCAGACCAGACCATTGTACTTGACCCTTTATCAAATTTCATTTTGATAAAATCCACAAGATGTTATCACTACTTGTATTTTACACATATGAAGACAGGCTCAGAGAAGTTAGACATGTTTCTCAAAAACACACAACTATTCAAGAATAAGTCAGTGAGAGAGAGGTAGGCTGGCGATGATGGAAGGGAGATGACACATATTAAGTCATGGAATGGCTTCAGGTGACTGGCTAAATGATTTTTCACAATTTATTATTGACCTTGAAATGGTCATTGCTGATTTACAGGCCTGAATATAATCCAAATCTTAAGCATCATTAGATTTCTAGCTATTTGTTTAATGATATTTGCTTTTAATAATAGTGATTCATTCATTCTTATTATCAACATGGTTATTTTTTACTCCAAAGTGATTCTATAGAATACGGGAAAAAAGTCTTGTTTTAGGACATATTTTGAAATTGAGAAAAGCACTATTTTATTACAAGGATCAGTGCAAAAAGAGAAGTCTGAATTGAAATTTGTTGCTTTAAGTAATCCATTAAATTTCTCTAATATGGTAATTTGTCCAATCATGGCATTCAGGATTCCCATTGGCTCAGTGATGGCTCCCAGATCAATATTTTGTGGGCTCAGAAATAGTTCATCTTACCACACACTTACCTTTGTGAAACACTCCAGAGTCCCAGGGCATTCAACAATGTTAATGATGCCAAGAAGAAGAAGAAGTTTTCTAAATTGCCTTTGTTTAATGTGTTTGGGAACCAATTGCCTGTTTGGAGCAAAAGTAATTGTTATTCAACTGCAGAATTGTAAGTTTCTGTGAATATTTTATCATTCCACAATTCATAGAGCTTAATATGCTTCAATAACATCTACAAAGCCTAAAAGCTTATCTGAAACTCACTGTCAAACTTTATTTAATTCTGCAATTAATAGTAAAATTATAAGCAGAGTACCCCAAATATTTTGAAGGTCAACAAACACAAGCTAAGTGTTAGAACTGGGTTGTGAAAGTTATCCTGATTTTGCTATGACTTTTCAAGAACCATGTTTGTTTTATTCATCCTTATAATTCTAGTATCTAGAACAGTGCCTGCTACACAGTAAGTGTTCAGTAAATATACACTTACACTGAATGAATAAAAAATTGTTTGCCTTGTGAGAAAACCATATAAGATAGTCTGTTACAATGCTTATTATAAGATTAGTACAATCATATATGTAGACACCAGATATTACATTATTTTTATAACCTAGGTAAATCTTCTGTTACCATATACTAATGATATATTTGACCTATTGGTAAAAGTGCTTGCAATCACTGATTGACTTGAATATTTTCTTTTAACCTGATGAGTAATACCTTCTAATTTAATACCCATTAAAAAGGGTTCTTCACTTCCTTATGTCAAACTGAGTGTATATGATTCAAGGTAATTGCTTTCAATTTGCTCCTAAGTTTTGACTTTTGCTTTAGATCTTTGCTAGAACTATGTATTTCCATGTCAGTGTCTATATCTATATATCTATGTCATCTCTGTGTCTCCATACAAACTTAGTATTTCCTCGGTGGTTTTTGAGTTATATATCATATATGCAACACTTATTTATTTATTTATTTTTTTAAATGGGAGACTGATCCTCTTTGTTCTTTTTGTTTTTTTTTAAAGATTTATTTATTTGTTTATACAAGCACTGGGTACAGTCAGAAGCGCAGGAGGGTGAGAGAATTCACCAGAGCCAGAGCGGGGAGCAGAGCAGGCAGAAGGACCGAAGTACACTGCTGAGGGGAGCAGCGGGCGGCAGGAGAGGTCTGCGCGCCATATGGGACCCTCCTCTGGTGGCCGGGGAGCGGCCGGGGATCGAACCGGCGCCGCCGAGGCTGCGGGCAGCTTCGCAACCCAGCGCTCAACCGCTGCGCCACCAGGGGAAGCCCTGCAACACTTATTTTTACGCAGTCCTTTAAAACAGCAAAGCAGCAATGTGATCTAGTATTACCAAATGTTACACACACGCACATAGTATTAGAAGATGTTTAAAAGATTGTTTAAAAAGGAAAGTGGGTTTTTTTCACAGAATTTAAATTCATTTGCCATTCTGATTGGGCAGATATTTCCAGAAAATGCCATACATATTGAGAACAGGAACTGATCATCTTTGGGTAGTCAGATGCCAAGGTTTTCAGCTCTTTCTTGCTTTGCCTGTAGGAAGGAACAAGGGGTGTATTTCCCCTCGTACAAGGGGTAGTGGTGATAACTGCAGACTCAAACAGTCAGTCTGTCCTGGCAGACTGGATCTCCAGTGCCATCTTTGGTGCATGGATGGTAGGTTGCTTCCTGAACTAGAAAATGGTTCCTGGCCTCTCCCTTGACAGTGCACACTTCTAAATGGGATTTGAATTAAATGCTCTGTTCAAGGTTGATAGTCAGCAAGTGCATAAGTATGACAGCTGTGATTAATTATGCCACTTCCCATTTAAAGCTGTTTCTCTTCTGTCATTTAATTTCCCAATGACTATTATTCTGGATCAGCCATGAAAATTAGCTAGTGTCCATTATAGTCTCAGACCTATAAATGATATCTGGTATTGAGTTTAAAACTATTTTGTAAGTTCCACTTTCCCATTTTCTTAATTTGTGTTTCAGTACAATAGAAATTTATGTTTTTATTGCTATGTTGACATAATGCCTTCATTTAATATTTAGATGAATAGTTGCACTGAATGTTTCCCTCCCGACTGTCTGTTGGGTATTGTGTAGCCCTCATAGTGTGTGTGTGTAGGAGCTAGACATTTAACTGTACTTGGTTGGGGTAGAGGTTAAGGTCAGGTAAGAATAGATTGCACTTATTTTCAGGAAGAACTAAACCATCCTCCTAAGTCTGTTCAGACAGTGCTGTTTTCTTATTTCTCTTGAATTATTATCCCAATCATATTTCTGTCCTTTTCATTTCACATCAGCACTTTGCATGTCATGCGATTATACCATTTCATCACTTTGTTTCTCTGGCTAGAGTAAGAGGAGTTTGCACAGAGTATGCAAAACCTCAGAATTAACATGACACTAATTCCTCTTGGAGCGTGAATTTTGCTCCATAGTAAGTAATTGCAAAGACTATCTTTATATTATAACAGTCAGATGAGGGAGAAGAATATAAATTTTTCTAAGATCTCCAAAGGTAAAACACAGTATTTCTAAGAAATTACAGCAAATATGAGCCTATCAGAGATACCAGATCCCCTGGGCATGGCAGCATGCTTTACCTGTCATTGGGGATATTCTGGGGTCACAAATGAAATGCAAGTGACTTGGCATTATGGCCTGTGGGGTAACGAGAGGATGTCACACCAGAAAGGTTAGAGAAAGGTAGTGGAAACTCAAAAGTAACAGCGTACATTTTTTGATTGAAATATAATTGCCATATCACTTATTCAGAGTCCTGTAATGTTCCTATATTGCCTCTAAAACATAATTCTTTTAGTGTTCAGTTCTCTTTCTAATGCTGATCTTCACGCTAGTCCCATATTTCTGCCTTACTAAGCTATAATTTAACAGTCTCTTTGTAGTTAATCATGGTAAAGAGAATCATCACCTGAATTGATAGCATGGAACAAACACTAACTTCAAATTGCACAGATGCATCTTGAAACTTAAAATTTACTTAATTATATCGACATTATCTTTTTTAAAGATACAGCATTGGTTATAAGAATGTAGAGAAAGGGCATTAGAGACAGGGATTTTGAAGTCAAAAATTGCCTCAGTTATTTAGTGATTTTGTTGTTGGACATTTGCCCAACTGGCTTCTCCCAAAAATGACAATAAACTCCCTTACTGAACTTTTAGGAGAAGAAAAAGAGATTATGGATGTCAAGGATTGGACACAGAGGAGGCACTCTATATCTTCAGATTATCACCCCCCTCTAACCCTTACAGGTTGCTCATACAGAATCATGGGGCCCGTGCTTGAGCTTGGGGCCATTTCCTGGCAGATATTTCTTCATGTTCTGTGTGCCATTTTTTTTTTTTTATCATTATCCCAGGACTGGCTGTAAAATGTTTCATTTAACATTGTCAGTTGACTCAGCTCTTAGGTACTATAACTTTATTTTAGTAGCTTATAAACTTTTATTGTCGTAATTCACATTTGTGCCATTTTTCATCTGACATTTCTAGTCACTGATTGAAATCAGGGGCATCCTTGCAAAAAGAGACAAAGTGAAGACGTTAAGTCCAAAATGGGACTAATTAAACTTCTCCAGATCTTAACTTGGGAGGACAGGAAGGTTAACAACATGAGAAAAAAATGTGCCACATAAAGAGTCTATGGGGTCACAAAATGCTGTTTGTTAATGTTCACAGTGGACTGTGGTTAGATACAGTAATAGTGTAACCAGCTAGTTAGTGATGAGTGTAAGACTATTCTGGTTTTGTGAGGAAAATATTTGGCATGGTTCAGAATTACCCCAAATATTTCTTGCTCAGCTGCATTTATTCACTCATTTGAAAATCATGTGTTAGGAAAATTTCAAGTACTGGGCCTCCCTGGTGGTGCAGGGGTTAAAGTCTCAGTGCTATTGCCAGCCACTACAGCATGCGTTTGATCCCCAGCCAGGGAGCTGACCCACATGGCACAGCAGACTTCTCCTGTCTCGCCCGCTGTGCCCCTCAGCAATGTATTTCAGTGGATTGCCTGCTCTGTTCCCCACTCTGCCTCAGTGAATCCTCTCATGTTCCCCCTACCACCTTGCACCTCTGGCCTGCACCCTAGTTCTTGTATGCATAAAGAAATAAAAATAAATCTTAAAATCAAGAAAATTTCAAGTACCAGGAACTTGGCATTCCAAGTTACTTAAGAAAAGGAGCTCATAGATTTCTAGGGGAGACATATAAGCAGGTAATTACTCTGGGTCGTTAGAATTTATAGATTCTAAATAAAATGTTTCTTTTTATCTTAAATTATTATGGTCACTTCAGAGATAGGAGGACTGTGGAGCTATCTAGACAGGTTCCTGTCTTTTCAGACAGGGGCAAAGGCATGAAGAGGTACAGGGGCACTACTCAGTTGAACCCACAGCCTTTTCCTCTTACAATCATCTCACTACTCTGGCCTGTTGGATCTGTTGGAACCAATACTTCTATGATTTTCCTTAACATCTTCATTTAAAAATGTCTGGACAACTGTCTTTGAAATAGTTTACACAAAATACCTTCTAAAATACCTAGATAACATTTCAACCCAAATCTCAGGACTGATACTCAAACTAGTATGAGACTCATGGAGTTCAATACACTAAATTTTAGACTTTTGATTGAGAAACATGTATGGGGACCCACATAGGCTGTGCTACTATAAACAGAAAGTTACTAATCTGAAAGAGGAATATCCTTACTTCTTGCCCCATATTTTGCCCCATACTGTAGTCCCAAATTCCATGTGCTTCTTTATGTCTTGAGTCTCACAGGGCCCTAAGACAACCACATGTTTCCCTACTCCAGTCAGACATGCCACCCAAATAGAAGGAAATTCTAACCACCTTACTAATTCCCAAATTAACCAAACTGGTTGCATTCTACCCAGCCTTCAACCTAACAGGTTTCACTTCCCTACCAGCCTTCACCATTATTCAAACAGGCAGTCATGTCCTCTTGCACACTCATGCCCTAACCTCACCTCACTATTTTGTTACTACACAGCCTCCTCCCTGAATACCCTCCTTGGTCACTGTTTCCCAGACTGCAACTCCTATATGGCCCCAAAGGCATGTTC